AGCTAGACTCCATTTTAAGGAAAAACAACTACAGATTTAGTCATTCTGGTACTATTACTAAAGGCAGACAACGTAAGTAGGCTTTTCAACTCTAAATACAAGGGGTAACATACTGCTTCTCGAAGGCAGCACCGGGGACTCCACTGAGGGTGAACCCAAGCGTTCAAGGCTTTTTTGTTTTCCCAAGCATAAAACCTGAGAGAAAAGCCATTAAAATTATTCGCACAGGAGTTACTCAGCGCGTGCAGGGGCATTAGGAACGCCCTGTTGGTCGGCGGTATCACCTGGATCGCCAGCATATGCTACTTCAGCGTGCTTGATGAGATTTAGAGAAACAAAGCTCGCTGCTTAGCTGACCTCCATTCCCCGTTCTTGTGTACACCGGCAACTTCCTTGCAATTTCGGCGAGAATTTGCCTCTGCACCTCCGGCCTTTCTTCATTTTCATAGCGTTCTTTGTCAGCATAGGACATGTGGTACTAGAAGCAGAAGTCACGAGAGGAGCAGTTACCCACGGGTAGCAGAGATAACATTTCAACTACAGGCAAGTTTGCGAATGTTTTTACCTCCCACTCCTCCTAATGAGATTAATCTAGTGTGAAAACGTGCTTGTTGAGAAGGCAAAGAGGGAGAGTGCTGGACAGCCAGGATACTCTGCGATACATCAATAAGAAACGCAAAAGTGAAATTAAGCATCACAAAACAACATACTAGAATTCCTACGGCTGCTGCCTTAGATTACGATTTTCCATGAATAACATTACTAACCATGAGAAGGATGCTTTCAGCACTTCCCTTGTGGGCAAGAATATAAAACTATGTCCCCAGCCACAGCTTTCTATTTCTAAAACCGGGATTAGTTGTTATTTAGAAAGTCACGTTCTTGTAATTAGGATCTGATTTTGGTCATGTAGATTTGGAATGCCACACAAACATCATCCTCATTCTATTGCCCCACACACGGTGTTTTATTAGCATTTCATAAAGAGGTAAAACAAATTGAAAAAAATTCCACCAATCCGAGCAACAGGAAAAAGTATTTGGTAGAAAAAGAATTGAAACAAAATGTCTGCCTCCGACTGTCCTGTGCTCAAACCACTAAATCATACCCTTGTCCTAAAATAAGCCACCTACGTTAAAAAACAATACCAAACCCTTAACTAAAGTATTATTCGTGAAACAACCAGCTTTTGTCACAGTGAACCCCAGTTTCTCTCTACCACAGTGTATCATTACACTTATCTTCCATGATGCTGCTGACCAGGGAAGGACAAGGACTGGAGCTACTGGAGCTACATGTGTACCCAGCACCACATCAAAAGCCCTGTGCCGTGCACACAGCCACAGTCCTCACTGCCACAGACATGCGACATCAGACTCTCCACCCGTTTAGAAGGACAAAGATTCTTCTATCCCTCACTATCGCAAGAAAGAGTCTGACAAATGAAGCAAACTTCACCACCACGAAGGGGCCCGCTCCAGCCGGCAAAGGGCTCCCAGCAGAGCAGGCAGTGCTGGACTTTGGTGGGACACTGGACGTTCACACACGCACCACAACAATCTGGCTCAAGAGATCAAGAAACCCCACTACCATTGCAAACGCACCCGTTTCCACCGGCACTGTAACACCTCCCGTGAAGAGCGAAAGCCAAAACTGAAGGCCCTTACTCGGGAGACTCCAGTAAGGCTAGGTTAAGGAAGGTCCTCAGGATTTGGCCTCCAACTTGCTTAAATGCTTAGAGATCAACAACACTGTAAATATGTAAGTTAATAATCATCAATCCTGTTATTCTCAACATGAAAAACCCTGTCGGCTCCTGGAACACCTGAAAAGGCAGCTTTAAACGTTAACACCATCTCTGATTTAAACCATGCTCTTTGGGGAACTAAAGGATTCTCAGAACAGTAAATGACTCAGTTTTTATGGACAACTCTAGGTCACTGTCCATCTCTTTAGGAAACCCGAGCAGTTCTCCAGATCAACTCGATTGAAGGATTTTTGAGTTCTCTTTAGCATCCCTGCTTTCGTTCTGCAAGGTATGAAAAGTGCTTGGACTCTTACCTTTTTGCCTGGCTGCACCGGGAGAGTAAAAATAGACTTCCAATATGTCCACACAAAGAGCACAAAGAGAATATGGAATATTATAAGATAGGCCACTAAAAAAACCAAAACCAAACAAAACAAAAGCAGAACAATGACTTCTTAAGTAAAAGTTTCATTCATGATGGGCCCAATTCCAATCCCGGGAGAGTAAAAATAGACTTCCAATATGTCCACACAAAGAGCACAAAGAGAATATGGAATATTATAAGATAGGCCACTAAAAAAAAAACAAAAAACAAAAAACAGAAGCAGAAGAATGAAACTTTTGCTTAAGAAGTCATTGATGATGGGCATAATTCTAATCTTTCACAACAATGACAAAATAAAGGAAAAAAGAAAGATTTACAGTATTTACCAGTATTACAATACAGCTAAACCTTATGGTCAAAGGGTCAGTAGAATTTCAGAGATCTGTGGCTGCAGGTAGGGGTTACCTATCTTACAAGCCTCTCCTTCTCCACCCAATCCAATTCCGCAGGTGAGGAAGAACACAGTTATAAGAGACTTCACCCACAAGGCAGGTGACAGCCCTATATCCCTGGGAATGACGGGATTCCTGGCTCATCCCCATATCCTAGGCACGGGCAAAGCAGAACTGGCTGGTGCTAAGCAGCATAAAGGTTAATACTGCAATACTCCAGCATCTCCACGTTTTGGGTTCAGTTGCTACTAAATGTACTTAGAATCACAGTACCATATTATCAGGGTACTGTCCACTCGTGCAACGCATCCTTCACCACTTGCGAGAGTTGAGAGAAATAACATGCTCTAGCAGAGCTTTACATCAGCAGACAAAATCAAATCTCTTATTAAACATCTTTTAGATCTGCCACAGTTGATACAATAAAACAAATCAGGACATCATCCCTCAAATCACGCAAAACAGGTCTTGGGGCTACTGAGAAAGAATTGTAATCCACTAGACACAACGTTATCACATGAAATGCAGCATGCGTCAGAGTAATCTTGTTTCAATATGCAAACTTTATTTCAAAGCCTTTGGGCATAAGCAGGCATAATGTGGTTCAGAAAGCCAAAGGACAGCTATCCTTCAGCCACACAAGCTATTTGATTGTTATTTCTTTAATATTAGACTCACTAAGACATTATCAAACAGTTACAAGACAGTTTTATTTAAACACACCATTTAATCATAATAATAACCTCATTCTCCCCGTTTCATTGAAGCTTCAAATTCTAGAAGCTAAGGTTAAAGTGATTACTACTAGTGGAAAGAGAAGTCTAAAATTCAAACACTTCCTAACTTCTCAGGCAAGACTGACTGTGTGAAAATGTAATTGGTAAAAAAGGCCAAACGCAGCTTTGAGACTTTCTAATGAGATGGCAAATGACCTGATACGCCTCACAAGAACGTGATGGATTGTGTGAATGATCTGTGAATCAATGATAATTCATTATTATGCTCTTAAGTTTGTTTGAGATGTTATCCTTACACTACATGCAGGTGGAGCTCAGTCATTTTTAAATGAATTTTTAAAAGATAAATCTTGCAACAGGTTTAATTTTGTTGATAAAGCAATACAGCAGCATGTTAGAGGAAGCTGACCTGGAGATACACTAATAGATTAGGCAACTAATAACTTTCTTCTGCTGAATAATCATTAATATCGTGCTTTCTATAGTTTTCCTGTAACAGTTTCAAAGACTAGGACAGCTCTGTAGAGGAAAGAGAATTTACTTGACGCAGCAATCTGGAGGATCTCTAAAGTATCAGCTGGCATTGTTCTTCATGGAACAATTTGCCAGCTGAAAACTGCTACACCTACTCCTATCCTTCATAACCCTGGCAGAAGAAATGAAGGTAAGAGGCCATCTGTATTAGCCAAATGCCTCCAAAGCACCTCCAGGAAAGAGGAGGAGGAATACTAAAATGGCCACTAACCCCTTATTCTTAGAACGTGACTGTGGCCTCCAACAACGCACCAGTGGAAACAGTCCCATCAAGTGATCCTGCTGCTCTGTCCGACTCGTTCAGCAACCTCACGATACTGCGCCTGGGACCTCAGAACGCTGTCTGCCAGCCTGGACTACCAAATGAATCTGAGAAGTGCTCAAGCCAAATAATAACGAGACAGAGACCTTTGCTCTAACTCATCTGTGGTAGTAACTGAGAGTTACTGTGTTACCACTCAATATGCAGCTAGTGGTCAACAGAACCAAGCAAAAAATCTTTTGCAAAAGCCTCCCTACAAAAAACATTAAAACTAGCTTCCACTGAAAGATCAAATAAAAGTGAAAAAAAATAGGCGGGCCACAGAACAGAACTAGTTTTTTCTGTTTAGCTTGTAAAATCAGTTCTGACAACATAAAACAGAAAGGGAGAAAAGGTGCGTGGGTGTATACAGATAGACACACATAGTTTCTTCCGAAAGGGTAAAAGGGATCGAAGCCTTTTCATGTTCTTCTGCTTATACTGCGACTAAACAGGGGCATTTCCCAATACATGCAAAAGTTATAGCATGTCTAACAATGCATGCTGTGTACTTCATGAATGTGTAATTACAGGAAGGAAACACTGAAAGAGTAAGTTTAAAAAATTGACGGAAAGTAGTTTTGATATTTTAACTAGAACATTTGTGAATTTTTCACACAAGGGCTGAATGTCAAATAGTAAATTGAATGCACGTACCTTTTTCCACAGGGTTGCTCAGAGTCACTGAAAAAGAAAAAACATATGTCTACAGAGCAGAAAGGATTCCCAGAAAAGCTTGTGACAAATAACATTTCTACTTGAAATACAGCCATTTTAGGAAAAAAAGTTCAAATTCAACAGACAAAAAGAGAGCCCACAGTTTAGCATCAAATCAAAAGCATCCACAACAATTCCTTGTTTACTCACGCAAATAACACCCACAACAAGATGTTCAATAGCTGTTATTTATGCTGTGTTTTCCCTTGTTATAAAATATATTTTGCATATTTGTACATTGGAAACGTGACAAAAACAATCCACTGGTGACGGTGATGTGACAAGATTACCAGGGCTCCTCTAGCACCTGTCCCAGCAGCATCTCTACGCATGCACTTACAGGCATGTATGCAGCAAAGGGTACATTGCTCAATGTCTACTTCTACTGATTATTTTAAAATCCATCTATTATGTTAAAAGCCACCAACCAAGTTTAACAGAAAAGACAAAGACATCTTTCTTTAACTGAAAATGGAGCGGTTCTGTGATATCTTGACAGAATACTGCTTGGAAGAAAGATCGTTCATGGGATGGGAGCCCCTTATATCGGATCCATAGCCCTGAATCTAATGGTTGCAACTGAAATGTGTCGCTCCCTGGAGGAACGGAGGAATGAAAGGAAACTAGTGGCCACAGATCATCTCCCAGAGGCACAGTCATCTTCCAAAAATAAGCTCATATTGCTGGAAGACTCAAAGATTTGAGAGCTTGCACATACCAGCGGTGACCCCTTCAGTTAGACTGTACAGAAAAAGAAGTGATTGAGGGATTGGAGCCTTCTACTTCCAACCTACAGCCAGCACCTGGAAAGAGACTCTACTCCTCAAGACTCACTCTATCATCTTACTTGAAAAACAAACTTGGAAAATAGAAATCAGAGTAGGAACCGAGAGGTCCCGCTTTTACTAATGAAAGTAGCTTTTCTTAAAACCATGCTAACAAACGATTTTGATCTGCAAGCTCTACGATACACAACAACGCAGATGAAAAAAGAGACCAAATATTTGCTGTGTCTCTGTGCACTCAATTTCAGAGGAATGAGACTGTTAGGAAACCTTTAGTTTTTCCTTTGGTTTGCCGCAAATCAAACTACGAAGAGTACATCAGCTTTTCACAAATACTGCTTGGTTCCCTCCTGAAGTACGTCGCACTTGCAGCATGACCTTTCTAAGGATTTTACTTGAAAAAAAAGCAAACTCCTAAATAAAGATTCTATAAAAGGTTTTATCGCAGGACACTGGGTCATTGTTCTCACTGTGGCAGCAACCACCAACCAGACATGAAATCAAGGCCTCCTCTGGAGTATGACTTGTTGGCCAAACCAGTCACTGAAAGTTTAAAACCCAGTATCATGAGATACCTCTAGGACATCACCCCCACACTACTTTCAATCCTAAGCAGTCTGCCCAACTAAAGACGAAAATCAAGAATCCAAACAGAGCACCTACTATTTACAGGCTTGTAAACAGCAATACACAATGGAAACCTGGGAAAAAAAAAAAAGAAGCCCACACATAAAGCCGTGCTATGCTAGAAATCTGGAAGAGAGAGAGACTGTCCCGAGAGCTGGTTTTCAAGTAACTGCATATGCCAACAGTTGATGTTCAAATCCCAAAATAATTAATATAGTCATTTCAACTTCTGTGTAGATAACCTCCTCCACACACTAATAAAATGCACGCGAGAGAAAGATGGGGCAAAAAAATAGATGGGTGTGGGCAAAGGAGCGATTTTAAGCTGTGATTCTAGGCAGTGAGATGAGCTCCTGCCAGCTTAACCAGCATTTGCAGAATCACACAGGCCCGATCCAAACCCCACTTAAATCAGCAGAGTCTTTTCTAATAGCTGCACTGAGACTTGGAATTAACCAGTGTTAAACATTGCTGAATTTGCACAGCACTGCAAACAAAGTGTATTTCAAAAGACTGACAGCATTTCAGGAAAATGAATTTTTTGTCACATGGTCTAATCAGCGGTTACATGCACCTTGGAGAGATCGTTCCATGTGAATTCTTCAAAGAAACAGCCCACAATCTCAGAGATGGAATAAAATGTCACGAAGTATTTGGGAGTTTTGCCTAGCTGCCAATTAAAACAGATCAAAGAAGCTGCATTTCATTTTAGTCCCCATCGAGGAAAAAAAAAAAAAAAGGTCTTACTGCATTAGCAACCCTAACAAAAATCTGATTTAAATTTGCTGTGCAGTACCAGAAGGCGGCTCTTTCCACAGAAACGTCTCAAACCACCGTTCTGAGAAGTTTGGCTTCCTTTATCTGGCTTACCCTGTCCTGAAGAGAAAGAGCCACGTGCTCCTCCTGACAATTTCAAGAGTCCAAGCTACCAGCTTTTCTCTCCACCTCCACCAGACCTAGCAATCCTTTCTTCTAGTAACGGGTTTTTGCACGCACACTAAACCAGAACATAATAAACACAAGAAAGTTTGCAACTCACTATATAGTTAAATTGCTACATTAAACTATACAGTTACTAGCCAGTACCAAAAATTTCCTTTCTAAAATTTGGTGTTTTCCATGCTACTCTAACAAGTTATTTGACTCATGAGTGTGATTTCATGTAACCTTTTTTTTTCCTTTTCAGAACATAAAAAAATGACCGCGACGCAGGGCATATACTGATTTTTTGTTGTTGCTTAAACCATAAGTCTCATCTGAACACTACCATATGGCAACAACAGGGACTTTTCACTGTGGTTATAAATCTCCCAGGCTTCACGAACGTCACTTCCCCGGGCTGACGAGGACACACAACACACGGACTCATGACTAAGTAAAAGAACGCGCCACACCTAGCCAGCCCAGCTAGGACACAGATCTTACGGAAAATCGGGACAGCACGCCATAAGAATCCCACTAATTGATCCCACCATGGGCTTAGCGAGTCATAAAGTCTTTCTTCACATCCGCCTGGCGACTTTCGGGTGCGGCCGGTGCCCTCACCGGCGGGACC